TTTTTCAGACGATAATAATGAAGTGGAAATTTGTGCCGACTTATGTGCAGAAGGTGCTATTAAGAAAGGTAAACTTGTGAACACTTGTCTCTTATTTTAATATTTTATTAATTCTATTATTATTGCACGCTGTTGCACAAATTGATATTATTATGTTTTTTAGACGATAATAATGAAGTGGAAATTTGTGCCGACTTATGTGCAGAAGGTGCTATTAAGAAAAGTAAACTTGTGAACACTTATATTTTATTTTAATATCTTATTAATTCTATTATTGCACGCTCTCTTACAAAAAAGAACTACTGCCGATTACATATAAATAAAGTCAGTAATATAAATATTACCCCAGTCAGAAATCGACGTCGATCAACCGTAGATCGACTAGTATAATCGACGTCGAATCGACGTCGATTCGACAAGGTATTTCTGACTGGGTACTGACAATCACATAAGAATATCATCAGATATTACAGGAATCACTGAGAATATTACTGGCAATTACACAGAGTGCCAGTAATGTTTTCGTACCACTGCCGCAATATATTACTGCCAGTAGTTCTTTTTCGTAAGGGCTATTGCACAAATTGATATTATTATGTCTCTTAGACGATAATAATGAAATGAAAATTTGTGCCGACTTATGTGCAGAAGGTGCTATTGAGAAAGGTAAACTTAAGAATACTTATATTTTATTTTAATATTTTATTAATTTTATTATTGCACGCTATTGCACAAATTGATATTATTATGTCTTTCAGACGATAATAATAAAGTGGAAATTTGTGCCGACTTATGTGCAGAAGATGTTAGTGAGAAAGGTAAACTTCTTTTAATACCTATACTAGTCATTATTGTTTTTACTAAGTAATTTCATAAATTCTTTTTTGTGAATAGAAATGACAGCTGTTGGATTACATACCAAAGCAGCACTTAATACAAGTACGTGTTAAAAACTATGAACAAATAATAAATAAGTGTTAACAAATATTATGCGTTTAAAAAGTATTTACAATATTTACAAATAATATATATTCATCATAAAATATTTTTTTAGGTACAAATACATATACTCCATTTTTGGCTAAACATATTACTCAACTTTATAAACAAGATATCAANCATGATAATCATTTGGACAGCCTTCAAGGTAAAATTATAATTTGTAGTAAATATATGCTTCTAAATCAATGTCATATCTCTCTCATTTNAATATATTTTTGATTACTATTCTTTAACTTTACAATATTATGTTGATTACTATTCTTTAACTCTACAATATTATGTTGTAGATAAAAATGATAAAAAAAATTACATTAAAGTACATACAACAAAGACATGCATTACAGGTAAAATATTCGGATTATTCAATTTTACAGATAATTTGTTTATAATGCTACGTT